GTGGGGCGGGCACTACTAGGAGATGAACCATAAATTGGCAAACATCATGCTGGCGAGAGAGCTCCGCCCAGCCCCTTAAGTGCTCTCTCCATGGCAGGCAGCACTTTGCCGTAGTCTCCCGTTTGGCCTTTCGATCCTGACTTTGGCGACTTCGGCCGTCGGGACGTGGCCTCCTCCAACGCCTGCGCACTGTCGCGCCTTTCCGAAGGCTGGCTCTTCTCCAGGGCCTGTTCCCGTGCTTCGGCTGCCATCTCCTTGTCGCTCTGCTCCATCAGTAGGAACCTGTTTCAAGAGGATGTCAGCTAGTGAAGCTTGGAACACAGGCATGCAGTGTGAAATGTGTGCCTGGGGATTCCGAACCGGCCGGGTGCAGTACTTACACGGCGTTTGGATCACCAAACCCAGGCTTGAGCACCTCGCAGTGGCCTCAGATTTGTGCCTCCATGCCTCATGAGCATGCATCAATCGAAGATGTTGCTTGATACCGCCCGGGAATGATACCCACTGACCGCAGATTACACAGTAGTTGCTGAATGCGCTGGCTGTGGCAGGATCATCCAGAGCGCGGCGCCAGTTTTGGCGCACAGAGTGCTGGAATGCAGGCCGGTCAAGCAACGGCATGGGTGCCGAAGTCACAAGGGGCGCCCGGTGCGTGCACCCAAGCGACGCCCCCCGCTCAGGGGGCACCTCCCCACTGGAAACGGTTGTGCCCTCGGCAACAATTGCACTATGTAAGACACGGCAGGATCCACGTAAATGTTTCTTCAAGCCCTCAACTCTCGTGAAAACCTTGCGGCAGTGTATACATTGCGGCATTCCATCAACTGTACTTCACGCGTACTGTTGACTACTGACCTTTGGTGGCGGGACAGTCCTACCATGCTGCCGAGTTCGGTGAGACTTCATGATGCGCATGCTCGAGAAGTACTGCCCACAGATATTACAGGCAACAGGATTACAGGCATCAAACGCAATTAATCCGCACTGACCAGGACTGCACTCCTCTGTTTGGCAGCCAGCTTCCTGAAGCTGCCGCAACCGCAGTTCAAACCCTTCGCAGCTGCGTGGGTCAGTACATTTCCTGACACGCTTGCTCAGCAATTTATGCAGCGCATCCGGAGGAGACACCACGTGCAAGCGGGCCCGCAGGTTGGCTGTGGATTCATGAGTAATGTGCGAGGCGCTACGAGCTATGGCGCGGAGATACCTTGCGTCCTTCTGTTCCAACATTCTACGGGTGAGGGCGGTCAAGCCAACTGCATGTAGCCCATACTGCATTGAGCTGCGTACGCAAGCCATGTACATGACCAGCCGAGTGCGCAGCCCCAAACCAGGGGTATGCAGGAGCTTGAGCAGTCGTTGGCGTATGACGCCAGCCGTCGACAGCCGAAACTTGCAGGATCGGAGCTCATACGAGTCAAAAGAAAGCGTGACCTCTAGGTAAACCGCGCCATTAACCAGCGGGAGATGAATGGGCTGGGTAGGGGAGCCAAGGCTAATGACGAGGCCAGCAATGGTCCTACTCTTCGACTGTCGCAACCAGCGCTTGGCTACACACCACCTCGTATCGCTAGAATGAGCTTGGACTTAGAGGCATTGACTGTCATTCCAAGCTCCTCAAACAAGCGGAAGGTTTCACGGATACTTCGACGCATAAAGTTGAGGTCTGACTCGTCTTTGATCAGCCATGCATTGCAGCAATGTGTCGTCCGCAAACAGTGTTACCCAAGCCGCTGCCCAAGCTTCATGAGTACGACTACTCAGAAGCATGTGGAAGTATCCAGTGAACGCAGCAAACAGAAGTGGAGACAGGACGCATCCCTGCTGAACTCCAGTAGCCATGGAGAAGGTGCCCTCATACCTCTGATGTTTGATAGTGTAACGGCACTGCTCATGGAGATCTAGCACGGCATTGCAAAGTGCATCCGGCACGTCAGCTGCACGTAGCGATGCCAGTAGGGAAGCACGCGGCAAAGCATCGAAAGCACGGCTAAGGTCAAGGCTTAATATTGCCCCCCCTGAACATTTGGGGCGAGAAGTCCCCTGACGCTGTGCGTGCACTGTAGGCGCCGAGATGCGCAGTCTGTCCCTTATGGCATCGCAGTTTCGGCAGGCCCTGAGGACAGCCTCGTCAATCGACCGACCCGGGATGTAGGCATACTGTGGTTTATCGGCAAGCCAGGGAATCAGATAGGGTTCAAGCTTTTCCCTAAGGAGAAGGGCATAAACCTTAGAGGTGGGATCCTGGAGTCCTAACGGTTTTAGGTCCTGCGGTCTCTTGGACGGCCGTCCTGGTTTGGGAAACAGAGCCAGCGTGCACGCGGTAGCCTCTTCAGGCAGAGGCTGTCGCTGCAGTCGCTTATGTTCCAGGTGACCCACAAGATATTGGGCAAGGGGCCTAGGGCATATCTGCCAAACCTCCGCAACCGGACTGTTAACAGGAACAGCTTTATGGGGTTTGAGCTTACAAATTGCAGCCTCCACCGACTCAGTCTGCAACTGCAGATCATCAAAGCACGGGTGATGCAGAAACGAGTAAGCACGTGCAAAGGCTTGGCGGAAATACTGCAGAAGCTCTCTGAACTGCTCCCCATGATTGAGAACCCTACCATCCTTCGACCTAATCCGAACAGGCTCATTATCTACGCTTAGGGGCCACCAAGTCAGCAATACGCGCTCGGCGGGCCTGTCGACTTTGGGTCCTAAGGGATTTCCATGCCTTCTGAAACCGAATATAACGCTTCCACGCTGCAAGGATTTGCACAAAGGACGTTCCAGGCCGTCTAGCTCGCAGTTGCCTATGGGCTGCCCACATCACTCGTATGCCACTCTGCACTTGTGGATTGTCACCTGCTCGCCGCGACACTGTGCTATGGTTCGAGGGGAAGAACTGGTGGCACAACTGCAGTAGCTTGTGATTGAGCAGACTAATGGATGTGCAGTGAGCCGTATGCTCTACAACCTGACAGACCTGGGACTTGAAGGCCTGAGCAACGTCAGTATCTTGTCGAAGGTGGGCTCGCAGGTCGGCCTTGGAATAGGCCAAGCTGGGGGGCCTACTCCTGTTCTCAAGTACCCATCCTGCGGCCTTCGGGAGACTGCACTGAACTCTGTGATGCCGTGGGCCATTGCGCCAAGGAGCAAGATCACCTGCGATGGGACACGATCGTCTAGCAATGGAGTCAGCTGCAGAGCGTCGAACAAGCATGTAGTCGATCTGCGCCGCATGCGTCCCATTACGAAATGTGGCACAGCAGTTCAAACGCGCACGACCCCATGTGTTAAGTACACACAGCTGATGTGTCTCTACCATCTCCATTAGAGCAGCATCCGCCTTGGCCACCGTGCTTTTCAGCAATCCGCGACCCGCCAGACCAGCAGAAGGGCAAACACCAGCGTTAAAGTCTCCAGCCAGCAGCAACAAGTTGCGACGAGGAATGCTGTGAAGTGCTCTCCCCAAACTATGCCACAAGCTTTCCCTACGGTCCTTATCGAGGTCTTTAGGTTCCCTGTCCCGAACCCACTGGTAAACGCAAAGAAAATCTATGCTCATGCCAGAGAGTTCCGCCCGGACCTGCAGCAAGCGACCTGGCACCCACTCGCAGAACGTGGTAAACTCCGGTCTCACAAGCCGATGTGATAGAACCATAGCCACGGCAGCGTACCTGCTGTTGGAATCCGGACAGACGTAAAAGGTCCAGCCTTCAATGGTCCACTGGTTTTCGTGTTTCCCCATGCCCCAATGCAGTTCTTGCAGAAACAACACATCGAGATCAGTCTGTTCACCAGCCATTGGCACAGAACATCGTAAAGTTCAGATGTACAGCCGCTCATGTTCCAGGTTTGCGCTCGAAGTCTAGCTCTCGCCGTCCCGCCATTGGAGACTGGTTGTCGATTCCGCCCAGCCGATGCAGCGGCTTGTGACGCTGCCAAACACTGGAAGCTGTTCGCAGTATGAATCCTGCCACGATACAGCGTCTGTCCATACAAGGATGCCCTCTGCCTCGCTCTGCGAAACGCGTGCTTCCTCGCCTGAGAAAAATTGTTAAAAGAACTCCCACCAGTAGGTTTTGCGAGCTCCCGAGCAGATTGTGGTACTCTGCTCAACCCTCGAGTCTGCAATCATGGCTCGTCTTCGTAAGTGGCCAGATGATATTGATTGCTGCTGGAATTGGGACCAGCACGGCTGGGCTTGTATGTAAAAGAGATCCAGGGACAGTAAAAGCAGTGCCACGCGCGCTGCCACCAACGTCAAAACGACCATGCTGTGAAAGAGTGCCTATCTGTCCGCTGAGGCTCCAGCCGAGACCCTTAGTAGTAGTAGTAGTAGTAGTAGTAGCAATAGTAGCAATAGTAGCAGCACTAGTACTAGTAGTAGTACTAGTAGCAGCAGTAGGAGTGGTAGGAGTGGTAGGAGCAGTAGTAGTAGTAGTAGTAGTAGTAGCAGTAGTGGTAGTAGTAGTAGTAGTAGTAGCAGTAGAAAGGCCAAATTCCGATTGCAAAGTTCCAAAGTTTACAGACCGATAGGTTTCTAAATGGCCAAAATTGTCAATCGTTTCAACGTTCAGTTTCTTGAACTTTTGTCCACCAGACCAACGAAAAAAATTGATCCATGGCTACTTGTTGCATACAGGGTGGATGTCAGCCGAGATCCCGCCGCTTGATCTTGGACAACCCTGTGATTTGTAGGAGGTGACTGTCCAGAGACTACCCTTCCTCGAGGATTTGATTCACATTGCCACGTTTTGGGAATTGCTGGATCCACGGACCCAGCATGCTACGACAGAAGACATCGATGTCAAACTAACATGCTTCTTGTTTGCCGAGTTGTGTGGGAGGGGGTCATTGTGCTGCACAAGCCAAATAACTTTTCAAACCAGACGAAAAGCAGTGAAAGGTGCTGTGGATTGAACTTTTGGCCTCTAGCCGGCCATCGGCATTTCCGAACCCGAACCGGCAGAAGCAGTTGGCCTGTGCTGTCGGTATCCAGGTATGCTGACATGAGCACCTGCTGCAAGGAGTACGAGGATGCTGAGAGGCCGACCATCCATGCTTGAGTCGATGCTCACACCCAGGAAACCAACCCGTCACACTCATACCCAATCAGCGCAGTTATGACAGGCTTCAGTCACATGCCGACCTGACGTCAGCCTTTGGCAGCTAGCGTGAGCATTCGCAGGTTTGCGGACTGCCAGGTAGGGCCCAGGCAGTTTCGAGAGTTCGGTTGTTCGATTCATCCTGGGGCACATGCTTTTGACTCTTCGAGCCCTGACGCTTGGCAGGTCTATGTTGGAGCTTGTTTTCGCACCTTGCGGTGCCATCGCCGGGAGCAACATCAACTGGATCGAGAAAACTGACAAGGATTCCCTCACGTTGTTGCCAGTTAGGAGGAATGGTTTCAATGGCCGCGATATCGGACAATGAATCTTCAGGCACAGCATTAGAGCCGTAGTGCCCATGGTCAGGCATTGAGTGCGTCCAAGCATCACCGGGTTGACTGCGCCTGTTGCAGAAACTGACACCCTCCCTGATTTGCCGAGAGGAGATCGTAGCTGCAACGATGAAGGACACTGGACAGCGATACCTGCTACTGGTTTCCCGGTTCTTCATATACAGTTTTGCACTTTCTGCATCGGGTTTCGGCCGAGCTGGCTCATTGGAGGAGCTCGAACGGCTCTTCCCGGACGAGGCACGTAGGAAAGCGGCCCGTGCATCAAGACGATCTTTAATGGCTTGCGGTGCCACAGATCTCCCGCAGAATTCTTTCACGCATACTGGCAATGTTGATTCCACGGACGCCCTGACTCCAGATTGGTGTCTCACTGGTCGGTGGAGGCGCACAGCTACGCAAGGCGACGGTGGTGAAGGTGCCTCGAAGCTCCAGATTTGGGCACCCGAACATGACATGACAAAAGCACCCCCCTGCAATCAAGAGCACTGCTGAGGCTTTAATGGTTTGTGATGGCACCTCTGCACCCCTGTCGCGGCTGCACATTTCGGGTATGACATGTGACGTCGGCTATCTCCTCCCTCACTGCATCAGTAGTTGGTTTTTCGAAGGTTTTGTTGAAGTTAGGAGTGCGGCATTTACAACACTGCAACCAGGATTGCACTTCTTGTCGCTGAAGCTCACAGAGCCAAAGATTCGGGCAGTGGGGGAGCGCTCAAGCGCAGGTACCACGCAGCGTCTATGCTGCAATCCCAGGACGCAACAAGTTCCGGCCTTCTCAGGCCCCTGCTTACGGCTACACGCTCTTGCCCTGTCGTCGGCTACTTGTTGGTTCTGGTGCAGGCCACACCCGTGCCCAACTTCACCTTGGCGGGCGATTGGACTAGCCAGAAGTTCTTGGGCAGCATGGAAGCAGACTGCACGGATTTCATCGAGAGAACAAATTCATAGAAGCTTGCCCTTGGGCCAGGGAGCCGTGCTGGCGGGCAAGTTGGCCGCAGAGGTGATTTGCGACCGTGCCAGGGGGATCAAGGCACATCTTTCCTCAAACCCCAAAGCCTCTTCTCGCTTAAGTCTGCATTACGGGTGCGCCGACCTGTTGCATCCAAGGTTCATTGATGTCGTCATTTCGTAGCCTGACAGCCGTATCTTCCGTTTCAAGAGCAGGCGAAACCCAAGCTTGTTGTGCCGGAGTCGGCTCATCCGAATATTGCACGTGTTTGCCAAAGCCTCGCTCATTCGTGACATGGCGCAGCCCCTTATAACATGTGACATGACTGTACCTCATACCTGAGAAACCTTCCGCACATGACTGTTGCAATCGCATCTTCACAAGCGTTTTAATGGCCTAAATTGCAACAACCATGTCATGGCTGTTTTTGTACTTGGAGTCTGCAAAAATCCACCGATTGCTGAGTTATCCACCTCAGAACTGGTGATGTTTGTGGAATTCGCTAACTGATCTGGCATGTTGCCAACATTCAGTGCAATCGTTTTGTGTGACTCGGTTTTGGTTGTACGATTGATGCTTCCGCCCTGGCGGGCACGTTTGTGTCGGCTGCCGTGCATGCGCATTCCTTCTATCTGCACTGTGCACTTCATGTTTGTGCACATGTGTTCAGACTGTTTCGTGCACAAGTGTTTTTGCGTAACCTTATTGCGGTGTTAACAGGGGCATGGCTCGAAGAAGATGGCGGGTGGCAGACCGCGTAAAACCTGAAAGGGGATTGGGCTTGTGTGCCGAAAGCCAAAACATCACTGAAAAGCAACGAAGACTGATGGATGGCAAACCTTCAAACCCAAAAATATTTCTTTTCAACAACCCTGCCCAGCGACTCGTTCAGCAACGCAGGAGGCAACAGGCTGTTGAACGTAGATACCTCCATTGAACCACTTTGTGAGTGATGGCGAGTGTTTTGACAGCATCTGCTGCGCGATGTGCGCTTCCTCTCGTGACCGGGCGTACCCTGCCCCACATAGCTGTACGAGCAGAGCAAAAGAATAGATGTTGCCACGATCATAGACCATTGGCACTGCACTGTCAGTGGTAACGGAGCCTCCGCTCTACTTCCTGGGCACCATGTCAGGTGGTCTGTGGCGCAGCACGCATGGTTCCCACAAGACCGAAAGCTCCAGGGCAGCAACGACTGGACAAGGCGGCCGCAAAGGCGAAGGCGGCTTGGCTGAGTTCGTGGGTGCTCGACAGGCGGCTCCTGATCCTAGCTTCTTGCCGAGCCCCACTTGGAGTCAGAGGATGAGGATGGCTGGAAACGGAGACAGTGGAGCATTACGGGATGGCAGTGCAACCAACCAAGTGCTCGAGGCGAGTTTGCAGATCGGTGAGAAGCAGACAAGTGAGAAACAACGCGTGGTTCGAGCGTAAGGATTTTTGACAAGAGTATTATAGTGGACTGCCTCAACCCGAAACCTCAAACCCTAAACCTTCAACCCTAAACCAAGAGGCGCGAGTTTGGTGGGCTTATAGGATGTAATGCCAGGAAGTGGACGTCGCCCCGAAAGACCCCCTTTGACGGTTCTAAATCTCCTCAGCGCAGGACCTTAGAAGAACCAAAGCTTCTAAATCCTTACAATAAAGATCCCATGCAGGCCATGGGCGGAAGTATACATGCCTCCAAACCCTCAAAACCCAAAGCAAACCCTACCTGGACCCTAAGGAACCTGCCTTTTTTCGGGTAATTTCTTTACCTTTGTCCTTTCAAAAGCTGTGTTTGAGGTTTTGGTAAATCCTTGTAGATCCCTTCAGGGAACGCTCAAAGGATTGCAAAGCTTGCGGATTTCACCAGCGGCCAGGCGATTGTATATTCATACTGCCATAACCCAAAGGCTCCATGTATCTTCATAGTAGATACTTAAGCCTTAAAAGGGTCCCTATATAGGTACTTTAAGGCATAAGTATATACTATGAGGGTACATGGAGCCTCAGGGCCAACAGGAGACAAGGCAGCACGTCATCTGCACCGTCT